ATTGAGAGAATCAAGTGGGACATCATTCTGAGCCTCATGGAAGCTGCTTAAGTCAGGCAGTGCTGCTAACATGTATGACATGAAAAAAGCATGCTTATCAAGGGCATCCCTGTTTTGTTTTTTCTTGTCTTTGGGCTCTGCAGCCTATATTGCAACCCATTATGCAGCCCAGCTCTGATGAATCGAGCCCTACATGAATGCCACATGAACAATATACCTCTTTTATCTCATGTGTAGTAGCCTTTGTTTGTATTGCTGCATATGGCACAGATGAAGGCTGCTGGTTGTATGACCCTTCGCTCCATGAGTGTACACACACTTCATCTTGGCCTACTTTGTCAGACACACCTCAGCATGAAAGGAAGTCCACAATTTCTACAGGGAAAGATTCCATGGAGCTTCCACACATTCTTACTTTCAAGGATAGACCACCATTAGAACAAAAGATGGAACATTAACAAGGGATGATCTCCATAGGAACTACATGTCCCTTTCAACACTAAAACCATGAGGCAAGTTCCTTCTTGGGGTGATCTATGCTATAGTCCCTTCCATTTATGAGGAAACACAATTACAGTACTCATACCAAATGCATTTATCACAGTTGGAGTGCATGCTAATAAAGCATTAGCACAATGACACTATAAACTTGTGTCACACACAAGTACAATTGTCAGAGAAGCTGGGGGAGCTGAAAAGAAGATGCATGCAGGAAAAAAGCCCTGATTCATTTGGTTTCCTCATGCTTGTTTTAGCTCAATTGGCTTTGTGAAGGCATGAAAAACAAAAGGTCAGTGATACGAAAGGAAATAATAATTGAAAGCTCCTCCTACCCCTCACAGAAGCATCACAGAGAAGGAGAAAGGGTGTTGTGGCTTGTTCCTGACCTTCCAACCTCTGTGGACTAAAACCAGTGGAACCAGAAAGCGCCCTCCCCCATTCTCTCCACCCATGAACAAACAATTATCCTTTCTATGCATCATTTCTTGCAAGTTAGTCCTAGTGAAATCAGTATAAAGTATTTGTAAGTAAAATGACTGAAGATAATCTGGTTTGTTTTGAGTAGACATACATTTCAGCTGGTTGTTTCTTGAGCAACCGTACAAAAGAGACAGTCAGGAAGGTTTGAAGAGAAGCCACGTTTTCCCTGATTGGGTAGGAAGTAGCATATGCACATCAAAGAGAGAGAGAGAGGAGCTGGCAGGTTTGTAGATCATGAGTAGCCATGGTGATTTCTTACAGTTCTTGGTCTGTTGTGTCATCTGTACCTGGCTCTGGCATTATGCAAGGTACCTTTGGCTTCCTGGAAAGTACCCTGAAGAGAGGCTTGATGGTCTGTTCTAAAGTTTGCATGCTTGACAGTGGCTTTATACTGATAGGAATCCATGAGATCTGTGGGGGGAAAGGAATGCATTGGATTCCCTGGGTTTGACTCCCTGGACTCTAACGAATTTGCAGCAGTCCTGACCTCATTTCCTGGTGAATGTACTTAGCATTCATGGGATGCTCACAGGGAATTGTGCCCAACGCACTGAGCAAGCCACATCAGGTGCAGTTGCCAATTGGGTGACTGCATCTGACTCTGAAGGTCAGTCTTGGGGAGCTCACAAGGAAAGGAGCCCCATGTGTCTGCTAATAGCCCTCCTCTCTCCTGCACCTGATGCTGAAGAAGGTTGCCAATAATCCAGCCAGGGCTCCATGAGTATTCATAAACTTCCTCTCAGCTCAGCTCATTTTAGATGACTTAGCTGAGCACAAGGGGATAACCATGTATGCTTGGAGCAATAGATTCCAATAGGGTTTGTCCTAACCCTATCCAAATCACCTGGAATCACCTTTTCTCATTGTTGGTATGGAAAAGGAGGTGGAAAAGCAAGTAAAGGACCTTCAGGTTGCTGCCTTTTGCCAATAGGACATTTCCTCTTCCACCCCACAGGCAAAAAGCTAACTGAAACCATACTTCCTAGTCCTTGAACAGTAGTATACATGCAGGACATGCTTGCATATAGTGGGACAAAACCACAACACATAAAAATCCATGATAAAACAGGCATGAAAAAGTCCAGGACGTTTTGGTAGAAATAATGTGAGGAGGGTGTATTGTGGTGAATATCATGTGAGACACCGGTGGATCAGGCATTGCAATGCCAATAAAAGTGCCTAGTGCAGGTTGTCTCCATGTATAGCCCATGATAGTTAAATTATGGAATTCACTGACATAAGAAGTAGTGATGGCCACCAGTCTGGATGGTTTTAAAAGCCACCAGTCTGGATGGCCACCAGTCTGGATGGCTTTAAAGGGGGACTACACAGATTCATGAGAAGCAGGTTATCGGTGGCTACTAGCATTGCTGCCTATGTGCTACCTCCATTATCAAAGGTGGCATGCCTGCCTACACCAGTTGCTGAGGAGCTTGGGCAAGTGGAAATCTCATGCCCATCCAGTCGCTGTGTGAACAAAGTGCTGAACTTGATAGACCATTGGTCTGATCTGCCATGGTTTTGTTATGATATTATTGCTTCAGATATTCACAGGTTTTGTGTGGATTTCCTTTTTCCTTGATCAAAATGGTATCATGATACCTGCCTGAACATTAAATGAAATGCAGCACATGTAATCCAAAATAACATGCTTAATGGAATTTGACTTTTTTCAGGTATTCCTTTGAAAACAAAAAATCTGGAAATTGTTGGAAAGGGTACTAGATTGGCAGTAATGTGCTGTGAAAACCATCACATTTGCAAAACTGCAAAAAGCTTTTCAGGGCCCTGGACTGATTGAAGAAAAGAACAAGCTGCTTTGATTCCAGTTATATTCCATATGGAAACACTCACAGTCCTATTTACAGCAGACTCAGAAGTGATGTATTATAGGTTTCAGAACACCCTTCCCTTGCCACAAAGTCCCTCATGTCACAAATGCCTCTGACTCTTGACAAAATGCACATATTCAATAGCTCCTAAAGGTGTCTCAGCAGGAAAAGTGTGCTGGCAGCTTACTTGACCTTTTCAGTTGGAGTTCTATATGTCACCTATGTGTGTCCATTGAGTTCATTCCTGAAGGTCAAGTCAACAAGGCTGACTGTAAGATGAGAAAAATAGAATCCTTATCTCCTTCGTACCTACTAGAGACCTTTCAGAGACTTCTTGATTTTAGAGTGCTTTCGTGCACCTTTGCAACATTCTATAAAGAAAGATACCAAAGAGGATGAGGAAAGAAGTAAATTGTGACTTTTCCCACTTTATATTACAGTAAGTTCCTCTAGGTCTATAAGTAAGTGCAGCTCCTTTTTCAGGCTGTAATTGTGGTTTTGCATGTTAAAGTTTATTGGCTCTAAAGGACTGCACTCTGTGCATGTTATGGGAATATGAAAGAAATTGAAATGTCTGCTGCAGTCTGCTCTGTTTTGTGCTTGACCTGAGAGACTGGGCCTCCTCACTGAGAGCGATGTCTAAGAAAAAACTGCTTCACTATTTTATTGATGGGAATAAAATCAGGGAGGACTCCATCAAGGCAGTACTGTAATAATGGAGGGACCAATTACCTATACATTGACGATAAATGCATATTCCAGTTCTAACACAGAGGTAAAGCTTTTTGATGTCCTAAATGGCTGTGCCCTAAAGCAGTTAGTCATTTAACCAAACAGAGGGGAGAAAATCCTGGATTTAGTCCTAAGTGGAGCCACCCAGAAGTTAATACAGGATGTAAAAGTTGTTGAGCCAATAGGAAACAGTGACTATTCTAGTATTAGATTTCCTATATGGTTAGGGGAAGGCTGCTAAAGAGGTCAAATTTGTCTTTGATGTCAAAAGAGGAAACTTCTTGAAAGAGAGAGAACTGGTAAAGAAGAAGCTGAAGAGGGGAATCATGAAATTTAAATCACTTCAGATTGAAATTACTCAACAACACTATAATAGAGGTACTGGTAATATGCATACTCCAGGTAAGGAGAGTTAGTACAAAGTCCATGAAATCACCAGCATGGTTAATGCATGGAGTCAAGAATGCTATTAGGGAAAATAAAGCTTCTTTCAAAAAGTGGAAGTTTTGTCCAAATTGGGGGAATTGAGGAAGGGGGACCAGAAAGGACCACAAACTTGCCCAAGGGAGTTGTAAGCAGACAATCAGAAAAACACATTACTTACAACACTATATAATTATTTAAAATTATTTAAATATATCAAAGAAAGAAAGCAGCTGAGAAAGCAGTTGGGTCTCTGGATGATAATGGAATTGAGGGAGCACTGGGGGCAGGAGGGATTAGAAGCTGCAGGGAAACTGAATGAATTATTTTCGTCCGTTCTTAAAGCAGAGGATGAAGACCAGATACCTGTCCCTGAGCTTATGTATTCTGGAAGGGAGTCCAAGGGATTAGGACAAACAGTAGTGACAAAAGACGAAATTCTCAAATGTACTGTCAAACTGAAAGTCAGCAGGTCACCCAGTCCAGATGGTATTCATCCTAGAGTTCTCAAAGAACTAATACATGACATTGCTAACCTTCTTACCAAATATTTAATATGCCCCTAAATCAGCCCTTGAACCAGAGGACTGGAGACTGCACAGTGTAACACCAATTTTCAGAACGTGGGAAATTACAGTCCAGTTAGCTTAACATGTTTCTGAGTAAACATTTGAAAGCATGATTAAAGATGGAATTAGGTAAGCACACAGAGGGACAAACCCTGATAAAAAAGAACAGCATTGATTCCACAAGGAAAAGTTTCATCACACCAACCTATTGGACTTCCTTGACAGTGTCAAAAAGCATGAAGACAGGAGTCATCCCGTAGACACTGTTTACTTGCACTTCCAAAAGTTCATCACCAAAGTCTCCTGAGCAAATTAAGCAGTCATGGACTACAAAGGGGGGAGGGGTCCTCTTTTGTATCAGTAACTGCTTAAAGAGGGTGGGAATACTTTACAACTTCTCCCAATGTAAAAATGTCACCATTGGAGTCTCACAAGGTTCTAAATTAGGATGAATGCTATCAACCTATTCATAAATGATCTGGAATTATGAGTAAGTAGTGAAATAGCCAAGTTTGTTGATGACACTGAGCTGTTTAGGTGGTTAAAACTAAAATGGATTGTGAGTAGTTCCAAAAAGAGATATCCAAGCTGAAAAAAATGGATATCAAAATGGCAAATGCAGTTCAATATAAGCAAATATCAAAGTAATGCATGGTGGAGCAAAAAATCCAAACATTCTGCTGATGGGATTTTGAGCTAGCAATGACTGAGCAAGAAAGGGATCTTGGTGTAGTGGTAGACATCTAAATAAAATGGTGGGCCAGTGCTCAGCTGCTGTGAAGAAGGCAAACTCCATGCTAGGGATAATTAGGAACAGAATAGAAAACAGATGTGCTAATACCTTCCTCTCCTTATGCAAATCTTTGGTATGACCGCACTTAGAATATTGTGTTCAGTTCTGGTCACCTTACCTGAAAAAGGACATAACTGAAAACAGAGAAGGGCATCAACATTGACCAGTGGGCTGAAGCAGCTCCCTATGAAGAGCAGCTACAAAAACTGGGACTGCTTGACATCGAAAACAGTCAGAAAGGGGAGACAGGATATATGTGTTTAAAATAATGCATAGTATGAATAAAGTAGAGAAAGAGACATTTTTCTCTCTCTTCCATAATTCTAGAACCTGGGTTCATCCCTTGAATCTGACTGATAGGAAGTTTAGAACAGATAAAAAGTACTTCTTCATACACTGTATAGTTAAACTATGGAATTTGCTGAAGTGGTGATGGCCAGAAATCTGGATGGCTTTTAACTATGTCTATATAGTACCTTCTTTACCAGAAGCAGCATGACTGCATATACCAGTGGATGGGGTGTTTGGGCAGGTGGAGATGTGCATCCTGCTTGATGATGCTGTGGGCAGCTGGTTTGCCACTATGTGCACAGAATGCTGGACTAGAGGGAACATTGGTCTGATCCAGCATAACATTTCTTATATTTTTATATTCTTACGTTGGTTAACCTATTTTGATGATCATAAGCAATCAAATTTGGACAGTTACAGGCATTCGGTGCAACAAAGAAAGTGACTGAGATGATATTTACTTCTCCATCCTTTTACTTGCATTTTTGCTAGGCAGTTTTTTTCCCCATCTGACAGCAAAATGTCAAGGAAGATAAGAAGACCACTGGGATACCTTATATTCTGGCCTCTTAAAGTCTTTTCCACTTTTTTCCTATCAGAATGGCCCCCTTTTCCACAAGTATGAAGTTACTTCATGAAATCAGAAACCAGTTGGTGAGGCTCCTTCCATGTCAGGCTTGGGAAAAGGCAGAGCTTCAGTTTATAACTTTGAGGTCAAAGCACTGTCTTTGAGCTTAGATCTGGGAATCTGAAATATCCTATGGCCCCTCAGATGCTGCCTAGAGGGCATGGGATGGTTTCCAAATGCCTTTATTGTATAGGAAACATCAATATCTAGATTATGGTACCTTACAAACTTTAGCTATTATCTATGTACTCTAAAACTGTACACAATAAAGAATGAAAAGAAGGAATAATGAACTGGTGATGTCTCCTTTTTAACTTCAGTTTGCCTATTAAATATTTACAACTGTCTATACTAAAACATGTTAGAAATTCACTTCATTATTTTCCTTAAAATTTCACAATTTTATTTACTCCTTTTTGATCAACAGCTGCTTTGATTCATTAAAGCTTAAGAACAGAATGAATTTCTGCCAACACCCATAGAAAGAAGACAAGACAAGAAAAGGAATGTCATCACTCAACAAGCTTAAACATATAGGCATCTGCTGTAAGAGTTATTTGTCAGAATTAATTGGTTCTATTTTCTCTGCTTCTGCTCTCCAAACAGATCTATGGATATGAGTGCATGGATGGATAAGCAGGATTCTGCCTATTCCCTTTACTCTGGGCCCACTCAGTGTAAGGCCTGTAAGTGTGCAAGATGCACACACAAATTTCTTTCTGTGTAATCAGGAACCAATGCAGGCATGCAAAAATTAGGACTACGGGTGCTGTGCAGCTTCTATTCAGCTGAATGCAGAGAGGGCCAATCTCCCTGCCTCCTTCTTTATACCTGTCACTGTACTATTTCTTTAGAGCCTAGCTTTCCATGAAGGAGCTAGAGGCTACTTATATTGTCCTCTGTTCCTCCATTTTGTCTTCACAACAACCCTGTGAGATAGGTTGGTCTGAGAGAAAGTCACCCAAGGAACTTCATCTCTGATTGAAGACTTTAACCTTGGACTTCCCAGTCTAAGTCTGACACTCAGACTACTACATCAGCTCTAATAATATTTCATATGAACAAAACTACCATCTGTACGTTTCAGGTAAAAGAAATCATGTATGAAACTTCAACTAGGACTGATTGGCTGATTGGCTAAGACATTTGCAAAAAGTGGAAGAATGTTCCCTAAACAAAAAGTGTTCTTGCATCACAGTTGACACATACTCTGTTGAGTTTCTGTTGTGAGTTACAATTATAGCTATCATCAATGACTCTGCATTTAGGAATGTTCCTCCAAAAAAGCATCCAATCCTTCAAAATAGCACAAAACAACACACAGCTGGCACATTTCAAGGAGGTTAACCAAACTGGCATATGCTCACTGTGGATTGCAATGAAGAGCATGGCTATGGATACTTGTATCCAAGCAAGGGCAAAATCTGAGTGATGTTATTAAGAAGAGGAGGAGGAACAGGAGCAGCAGGAGGAGGAGATTCTATTTTTCCATGCACATACACACATGCACATAAGCAAAGTAATTTATTAACTGTCATGAAAATTAATAACATGCTTCTATTAATCTGATTTTAACTTGCCACATGGTTTTCCACATTTCACAAGACACACTTCATTTCAGCTGTGAAACAAACTTGCTTAGTCAAAAATAGCTTACTGTTCCCAAACTATTCATACAGAAAATTTCATCTTAGACAGTTTAAAACATGTGCTAAGCAAAGGAAGAGGTTACTCACTAAAAAGCAGATTTTTAGTAGCTTTTCTTGTGTGCCTGAGTTAAGAGGAACCACACTAGAAGGTGAGGAAAGGTTTATTGGGAAACCTGAACAAATCTTCCATTCAGTTGTAGCTTGATCTGCACAAGTTTCTCATTTGTGCAGAGCAAACAGTTAGGCAAGCATTGAGATGGTGTCAGAAAATCCTGGCAATCATGAACATCGCTTTTTCATCCTTCTCTGCATTCTCATTCCTAATATCTTGCTCTTTGGCCAGTTTCACCCAGATGCTAATATTTATTTACAATTATTTACATAAAATATACCCCACCTTCTGGTACTTAGGCACCACTCAGCATGACCAAGGATAATTAAAACCAATAATAAAATAAAATATGACTAAACACTAAAACAACAGTATAATAAAAACTGATACAGCATACACAGTGAAGATGTCTGATAAAGCTCCCCAATTTGATAGAATAAATATATGTCATGTGCTGAAATGTTGTTCAAGGGGGAGCTCAGTAGCTTCCTGGGGCAAACAATTCCACAGTTTAGACATACTCATGGAGATTACTTCCTCTTGTCCCAGTCTGCCATACTTCCACTGCAGTTGGGATGCAGAGAACAGCTTCCTTATTGGAATGCTTTTCCAATCTCTCTCAGCAGGGCAGGGTGGTCTGGGTGCAAGTGGCCCCTGATGTCATCTGAATTTAACCAATTTCCTGTTAATTGGTTAATTTAAAGTCAATCATGAACACACTGAATTATGCCTAACAGACAGTTGGTAACAACTGCAATCCTCACAGGACGGATGTGGCATGTGTATCAAGTAAGCACTCAGTAGTATTCTCAGGGCTGCATTCTAGTCCAGTTGCAGTTTCCCCAGGTAAGAATATATTGCAGTAATCCAAACTACATGTAACTATGCCATTTGACATAATGGCTTGGTCTGACCTCAGGAGGAGTGGACACAACTGGTGCACCAGTCCAAGCTGGGAAAAGGCATAGCCACCTGATTAAAACCTCTACTGTAAACTGTAGCTCAGTTCTTCAAATGGAATGCTAGCCACTTCAAAAGAACTTAAATCCTTATGCCAGAGTCCATTTGTCACTTGATCTGCAGTTTTTCTGTCTTGACCAGGTCAAGGCTGAGTTTATTAGTCCTAATCAAGTCCTTAGTTGCCTCCATGCTCCAGTTCAAAATATCCTGGTGTGGATTGACATAAAATTGAATGTAGCTGTGTGTTGTTAGCATAATGATGTCAGCACACCCCAAATCTCCATGTAGTCTCTCTCAGCAGTTTTGTTGAGAGCTAAATAATATGATGGACAGGTCTGAACCATGCGGAACACTGTACACTGATAACCAAGGGGTCAAAAAGGTCCTCCCAATATTATCTTCTAAAACCAATCTTAAAAGATGGGCCATAACTATCATACAATGGTACTTCCCTAGTACATCCCTACTAGGCAATGCAGAAGTATACCATGGTTGAGAATACCAATACCATGCACAGGTCCAGCAGAATCAACAGAGAGTATCTCCCCTGTAGAATTCCTGGTATACATCATTTACCAAGGTGAGTTAAGCTGTCTCAGACCCCAACCCAGACCTGTTGCTGTTAGTCGCGAAGTCGTGTCCAACCCATCGCGACCCCATGGACAACATTCCTCCAGGCCTTCCTGTCCTCCACCATCTCCCAGAGTCCACCTAAGCTCACACCAACTGCCTCAGTGACTCCATCTAGCCACCTCATTCTCTGCTGTCCCCTTCTTCTTTTGCCATCTATTGTTCCCAGCATTAGACTCTTCTCCAAAGAGTCCTTCCTTCTCATTAGGTGGCCAAAGTATTTGAGTTTCATCTTCAGGATCTGGCCTTCTAAAGAGCAGTCAGGGTTGATCTCTTCTAGGACTGACCAGTTTGATTGCCTTGCGGTCCAAGGGACTCGCAGGAGTCTCCTCAAGCACCCACAGTCATACATTGCAATTGGGAAAACCATAGCCTTGACTATACGCACTTTTGTTAGCAAGGTGACGTCTCTGCTTTTTAGTTTGCTGTCTAGATTTGCCATAGCTTTCCTCCCCAGGAGCAAGTATCTTTTAATTTCTTGGCTGCAGTCTCCGTCTGTGGTGATCTTGGAGCCCAGGAAAA